ATCTGTGAAATTGACGCCAATGGAACTACCACGCCTGCAAGGAGTAAGAATCGTCGTCAACGCTAGACATACTTTTTCTTAACGAAATAAGATAAACGCTATCAATATCATATTATCTGTAAATCAAGTCAAAAATGGAAATTCGCGTCGTCGTTCACAAAATGTTGACGATGAAGTTCAAGTATTGTTTCTTCAGATCGGAAAAATATTTCCGACAGATTTCTCTGCGTATAAATGATTACTAGGCTATGCAAAGTTGATTTTATTTGTTTTCTCCAAGTTGAGTTGAAAACAAAAGTGAAAGGTGGAAAATTCCATATCCCTAGCATGGAAAGCTTTTGTCCTCCAGTTAATTTTTCGAAAAGCGGTTTTGCCATCTTCGTCGTTCATTCAGGCCTTTTCTGAAACCAATGGAACATCAGGAGGACATATTCAACAAGTTAAGTTTCATTCCGATTCCATTTGATTTCAGAATGGAGAAACATAAACTTATTTTGCCAAATTTATACTGTCTAGTTTTCAGGCAGTGTTATCGTTTTCCAGTTAACATTACCAAGACTTTATGGTGACCTTTTAAGAAGCAAGTGATCTGTTTGATGTTGATTATACATGCATAGTTATCGCCGATGTCACGGGACATTTGAATCGTGGAGAATACTCATGAATAAAGTATTTGAGCATCTTTTTGGTAGATATGTTTGCGCGTGGTTATAAATTGTTGTTACGAGTATGATCATGATAATATAAACATATAATTACTTTCTTTAGCGCCTGATTCTTCGCATGAAGATTTACCTGAAACTGCTGGTTTTTACTTTCTTTCAGACTGGGAACCTGATCAACCTAGTGTAGGCACGTCTCAGCAGTGTGTAGCTGTTAGTACTGTGCATACCCAATGGGAGGATAAATCATGTGGCGACAATTACGACACCGTCTGCCAAATATATATGTAAGTTCATGACAAACTAATTTCAAGGCGAACCAACGGGGTCACGGGGGTCTGGATTTCCTTTTGTGTTTGTATTTGTATATTTGTTGTGTATAGCCGAATTTCGCCTGAATGGACCCCTTTTTTGTGTTTTCTAGTTTGCCTCATATACTGTTCTAAAGTCATGTGATCAAGTAATTTCTGGGAATCGTTTATAGATTCATCAAACAAAAGGTGCATCATATGACTTCAAAATTATATAAAATATCTAAATCACCTCTGTCGACCAAGGTGGCTTGGAAGTCGGAACATCTGAGTGATCTGACATCAAAGAATGAAGGTATTACAACCAATGAATTGTAACATTCATTTAATTCTGCCAGATGTTTGCCTTCATTGTAGTTTTTAGGAACTCCAGCGGTAATACCTCCTTGGTTAGGCCTGATTCACCCAAGAGCCTGGTAATGAAGACGGGTATCTTGGAGACAATGGAAGACAATCGAAATCCTTATTTAATGAGACTATGTACATGTAGCACTTCCGCATCAGTTAATTTGCATGGCCTATCAGGGAAATTAGATTGCTCAGAACTTACTGCAATGTGGTCACAGATCAGTAGACTTAAACCGGATTGTATAGGGTTCGAAACATAGTGGATTCGTAAGTGCCCATTGGTACGGCATCAATCCTTGAATACCAGGTTCCTCGAGTAGGATTTAGAGCTATACCGTGTGAGACAAACAAAAGTTTACACCTAGAAAATTGCTAATTATTTTAAAAATTATCTATGAACGGTAAAGTATTATATATCTTATGAAAGAGCGTTTTATCCCAAATCATATGGTATCATTTTTGTGTGGTATGTTTTCACGCATAGATGAACAAGAGGCATTGTTTGCGAGAGTGCAACAATCGACTCGCGCCAGTGTGATGCCCACAGTATGTGATATGTTGGGATTAAAGTGAGAGAATAAATTGAATGTATCAAATGCATTGCATATTTTTTTTGCAGAATCAAAGTCACACACGTGCGCGCACAAATGTTCGTTAATATTTGATATTCGATATTTGATATGTGTGGCATGGTTAATTTTGTTAGGGATGTCATTTGGATCTGCAATGACCGAATCAATCCCCAAATCCCAATTGTTTGATTCAAACATCACATAAGCAGCTTTGGCGCAATTCGATTTTTGCACTCTCGCAAACAATGTCTCCTGTTCATCCAAGCGTGAACACATACCACACAAAAATTATACTAATGATTCGGGATAAAACACTCTTTCATAAGATGTATAATAATTTACTGTTCACAGATGATTTATAAAATAATTAGCAGTTTTCAAGGTTTTAACTTTTTTTTTGACTCACACTGTATAGACACATTAATTGCTTAGAAGTGAGGTAAAATAATATAATTTTTATCTTCATCATTATCATCGTCATCATCAGCTGCACTATACCATTTCCATTGCAGCACTTCACCTTTAGATATCGACGAGTGCGCGAGCAACCCTTGTCAGAACGGGCAATGCACAGATGACGTCTACTACTTCTCTTGCTCCTGTGATGCAGGATGGGAAGGGGATCTCTGTGACCAAGTTGTCCGTGAGTACTCATAGCTCAGTCACTAAACTAAACCGACTCCACCCCGACTCCACGCGACTCCAAACCGACCAATTCTTGGCCAATACGGGGAACGTAATATTTTCTTTGGACTGGTGTCGTTCTGATGTCGTTATCGTTGGTGTGTGTCTTTACTGACGGTAATCAAAGTTTTTAGAGAGTCAAACGGAATTTAGTATGGCTGGTCAATCCTACAAATAAAAGAATCTGCTTTAGGGATTTGGTACTGGTGAGAGATGCGCAAAGAAGACGGGTAATTAACCAATTTGATAATTATCATGATAATAATTTCCCTTTTGTAGCTTTCGTAAATGTGTCAATGACTTCTTATTTCATTCATGCATAATTCAATCATAATAGCTCAATAATAATGATAGCTCACATTTATAATGCGCCTAATACTACGTTTCTAGGCGCGGAACATATTATTACCCCGGTCATCGGATCCAGGCTTACCCGCACACAAGGTATGCACATTCTCCACTCCCTGGGGAGCATTCCAGCCAGTCGCCATTTTACAAGCGCCACTTGCTAATCAAACCACATTAGCTTTCGCATCCTACCGGGTACCCATTTTAACACCTGGGTGGAGAGTGGCAAATGTAGATCAATGTCTTGCCAAAGGACATTAGTGCCGCGGCGGGACTTGAACCGCGGACCTTGTGATCCACAGTCCGGTGACATATCCACTCGACCACGACACCTCTACGTTGAGTTATGATCACATCAATCATCCATGTTATCACCCGAAATCACGATTAATATTATTGTAATCATTACCGATTTATGCGCTTTAAAAAAAGTTTAGTATAAATACAGCCACCCTTTCGCATTCTTTTTACATTAATGCTATGTTTGATCCAACTCCCCAGCCGTCAATGTCTGTGCCAGCAACCCGTGTTCATACACGTTAAATGGACAGTGTGCTGAGATTCCAAATGGGTACACGTGTGATTGCGACACCGGATGGACAGGACCACGTTGTGATTTGAGTAAGTGCTTTACGGGTATAAGGAGGGCGGGGTATCGCCCTTTCCTATGATTGTAATACTAGCCAATAAAAATTGACCACCTTCTTGTCAGACATTTTAGGCACATAATGCAAAAGGAAAATGTGAGACCCTTTCATATTGTCATAGAAATTATTCTCTTGTGTACGTGCCCCTAAATTTCAGGCTCTTGTTTAAATCTTTACAGCTGAAAATATCAGGTTTCACCACCCTGTGTATTATATGTCTTTTGTTCGATTTCTTTTATTACCTCTGCCTTCTACTACCATCTTCTTCTTCTTCTTCTTCCGATTCTTCTCTTTTTGTTTTGATATCTTTCGTCGTCATCATCTTGACTTTTCCATCACGTTTATACACTCACAGATTCATCACAATGGGAGTGTTCTGGGACAACAGCAAGATGCTACAACCGCTCACCATCAAAACTTGATTACGATGACGCCCTAGCCTACTGTGGCGGCCTTAACCCAGTATCGCCCCTTCCAGAAACAGCGAACACATCTTTGCTCTTCGTCAGCACAGGGGCGGAGATCAATGAAGTTCAAACCATATTTGGGATTACTGACCAGTACGTCTGGGTCAACTGTAACGATCGAGTCGTCGAAGGCGAGTTCATCTGTGTAATCGACGCCAATGGAACTACAACAGATGCGAGGAGTAAGAATTGTCGTCAACGCTATTGTTTTTTTTCGTTTTTAACGAAAGAATATAAAGACTATCTATATCATTTGGGTTATCTAAGTCTTATGTTGTCTTTCTAGTCAAATTTGGAATTTGTCTCCATTCGCGGGGTCATTCACCATTTTTTTAAAAACGAAGGTCAAGTGTTTTTTCTTTGGGTAAAATCATATTGGGGATTTCTGACCAGTACGTCTGGATCAACTGTAACGATCGGACGACTTTTGAGACTAGTAAGACGTTTTCGCCATTGTATAGGTTACATGTAGGACGGCGATCCTGGGGGACACCACAAGAAATTTTACAGGGTGAATGGATAGTCACGACGGAACAAAGTACAATTAAAAATTAAAAAAGCAACACACATTGGAAATTGTACATCGTGTGTTGAGGCTACTTCACTTTTTTCACACTGCTTCTGCACCCGTCTTCATACATTATGTTAACCATGTTTTAATGAAGTTAAGATCGATATGAACTTTTTAGAACAAGACAAATTTTTTGGTCAAAGTTGGCATTGTTATTTTAATTACGTTTAGGTGGGTGTCGCAAAATACTTGAGTCTTTAATGGAATCGTCATTTATATGAGGTCGTTTAATAGCATCTCTTGTTGACTCAGGAATATAATTTTGTTCATTAGTTGTTGGTGTTGTTTTTGTACTTTTGTTATGTCTTTTGCATTTAACTCTTATCTGACAGCAGTTTATTCAAAAGTATGGTTTTTTGCAACTAAACACTTTCGAAAAAACAACCTATGATGTTTTTTGGTAGCCATTTGTGCTCTATTGTTGAAATCTGAGAGTATTTGTCATGTACAAACTGTTAATTTCATTGGTAATAGAAATTGGGTGAACCGACTTTGGTCCTACGACATTGCTTCTGGCTTTATTTCACCTAAGATATATTGTTATGGTTAGGGGTATGGTTGGGTCAATGTTTAAAGTAAGGCTGAGAATTCGTTTAGTGTAGGAAAGTGACGCGGGGCGATCGTCGGAGGAGGAAGTGTCGTACATCGATCCTGCCCTTGAGTTGATTTCCAAAAAGCCTTTGCGATTGTCTCCTTTATCATTCTTTCAGACTGGCGATCTAGCCAGCCTGGTGGAGGGTCAAGTCAGCAGTGTGTAGCTGTTAGTATTACACATACCGAATGGGAGGATAAATCATGTGACGACAATTACGACACAGTCTGCCAGATTTATGTGTAAGTTCAGCATTTTAAAAATAGTGTTTCGGAGAAGGAAATTCCTTGTATACTATGATTAAATACCTCATTCTTAGATATCATTAATATACAAATGATGTATGCGAATTGGTTCATTATACGATCTATCCACACTCGTGCTGAGGCTGTAGGCATCTACCATACAAAGCATTCAGTCCTCAAAAAGAACGAATGGATCCTCCTGTAATGAACGAGTGAAAACATGTTTCAATTGTTTTATACAACAAAACTCCTAGATTCTTGTATCATTGTCGGTTACAAATGGTTCTAGGACATTTATCCCCTAGACAATCACCCACGGCCTATTACCAGCGGGACAGTTACCCCCAAGGAAAATTATGTTTACCCCCCCCCCCCCCTGGAAAATTACCACCTGAGGACAACTACCCCCCCCCCCCCCCCGAAGGACAGTTAAAGAAATTTTGGAGATAGATTTGAGGTAATTGGGGCTCTGTCATAAGGGATACATGTGTGCAACACTGCCTTCTCCCAATTTTAAATAATCTATGAGACAGGAAAGTACCATTTTTTGGCTTGTTGAATAATGGAATAATTTTTTCTCCAAAGCTTGGCAAATTTGGAGATCTAAAATGTGTCTTCAGAAGATTGTCCACAATCCACCCCATTTATGCCATATACAATGATTTAGCGAAGCGCCCGCATGTCAACGCTTACTCGGATGATATCAAGTCCTTACTATCATTTTGTCTGTTTATTTTGTATCTACATTTTACCAGAGCTGACCTAGATCACTGCACCTACAACCCTTGCCAAAACGGGGAGTGTGTGTCTAGTCAGGACACTTTTGCGTGTACGTGTAATGACGGCTGGTCAGGAGAACTTTGTGATAAAGGTAACCTCAAACATTCAACCTATTACATGAGACAATCACCCTTTTCCTACAATAAGCGTCGGCACCAGGTTGTCTAGTAATGGGAGGGGCAAAACAAATAATTGCATTTCTCATCTTTGAATTCAGCCACTCCATTGTATTGGCATACTCTAGTTCCCTTTAAAAAGGAACATTAAAAAAGAACCCCGTTAATATATATATATATATATATATATATATATATATATATATATATATATATATATATATATATATATATTAAAATCATATTTGGGAAACCTGTATCAGCGCCTATGCCTGCAGGATACTGGTTTAAAGGTTTAGAAAATGGTGATCATTACCATTGAGTTTCTCCATTCAAAAGCCTGCGCCTATAGGCCAACATTTGAAACATGTATAAATGATAAACTCACAGAAGTGCTTAAGATTTGGAAACAGATTTATAAAAAAAATATATAAATAATCCAAATTACCAAGAACCTGCCTATTCTATCTATAAAATTTATCTACTTTGCTTTCAGAATGGAAGTGCACGTCGACCAAATGTTTCCATCTTTTGACTGAGGAAAACACGTTCAGCGATGCAGTCGCTTACTGCGACAGTCTTAATCCTGTAACTCTAAACCAGACCATCGTAACCGGGACGAGGAATGCGTCCATACTCTTTGTTGGTTCCGATGCAGATATCAACGAGGTCGAGGATCTATTTGATTTCTTCTCGTCAACTCGTCATGTATGGGTGAACTGCTTCGATGATGACTCGGATACGAATTTTGTCTGCACGGCTGATGACGAAGGGACACTGACGGATATTAGAAGTAAGCTTCCTTTTCCCATTTTCTTCTCTCATTTTTTGTCATTCTTTCTTCCTTTCTGTCTTTCTTTCACCCATCTCTCCCGCTTAGTCCCACTATATCTCTCTCTCTCTCTCTCTCTCTCTCTCTTCTCTCTCTCGCGTCTATCAATCTCCCACTCTTTAGCTTTCATTCTTTTCTCTCCCTCTATCTCTTTCTATCTCTACAGCCCTTTCTTCTCTATCCTTCTCTTTCTCTCTTACATTATTTCTCTCTCTCTCTCTCTCTCTCTCTCTTTTCTCTGTATGGTGCTCTCTCTTTATGTATGTATCTTTCTTTCGTTCTTTATATCTAAATATCTATCTTACTCTCTCACCCTCTCCCCTTTTGACCGCAGTCTCATTTTTTGTTATATTGGGGTTACATTCAGCCCGGGAAATTTAATGCGAAACGTTTAATATATTTATCAAAGCGCCTAACTAATACCTGCCAGCTCTATAAAGGGGAAAAATCAGATTTATATGTTTGACGACCTGCATTAGGACCATGTAATTCATACTTCAAAAAACTACTATAAGCCTTTTTTCATATATCATAGATATGGTTCATGTAAATCGCCTCCAAAACTTAATTATTATCCAGAACTTTTTGGTATTCCAAAATTGAACCGAAGATTACTTAAGTATAAATCCAAATGCTGGTCATGCGATTATCTTGTGAAATTAACTGCCTGGATGCAAATTAGGGAAAGGTTGATTATTTTAAACATAGAAAAAAGAGAAGAGAAAATGAGTCGGCCTTGCTGGGAATCGGCTGCACTGCAGAAAAATGGGTAGGCCTATATAGGATGAATATTTGGTACTAACTTCTAAACTATTTCCCGTCATATTTCCAATATAAGGCCATTTTGAATAACATCAATTTTCAGAAGATGCTTCTACTATACTTTCAATGTGACATAAAAAGAGTAAGAAAACTTTAAATTATTTTTTAACTTTAGCAGAAATCACCATTCTCTTTAAGATGAATTTTACCGTCATATTTTTAATAATCCGTTGATCACATCAACGTAGTCATAATTTCTGTTATTCCGATATCAACTAATGCTGTTTCCCTGATCCATTTTTGTCTAAAACATGATTTTCTTCTCTCATTAGACTGGGAATCTACTCAACCAAACGGTGATGGTAGTCAAGACTGTGTTGCCGTTGTAACAAATCACAATAAATGGGAGGATAAAAGATGCACCGATACGTATAACACTGTTTGTCAGATATACAGGTAAATATTGTGTTCATTATTTGCTTATCTCAAATTAGATAAGGACACATGTAAGTATGGAGAGATATAGAGATAGACAGAATATGAGAGAGAGAGAGAGAGAGAGAGAGAGAGAGAGAGAGAGAGAGGGGAGAGAGACAAAGGAAGAGAGAGAGGGAGAGAAAAAGAGAGAAAGAACTTAAATTAGCTGGATCTCTGTTTATCATTAGTCTCCACCATTGTGATGTGTATCGTTGTCATTCTCAGCTTGTCGCAATGATACAGTCATCACAATTATCATCATCATCACTAAGGGCCATTATTTTGTAAACCAGTCATATTTCATTTTTTACAAATTTAACGTGATAAACAAAGCCAGCGGAATCAGCTGGTCTTTCTTCATATCACTGAATATTAAAGCAAATGATTGATATTGCTATCATGCTAAAGTAATGTTTATCGCCTCCTTTTTCTTTAAGGTCATGGTTGTAATGCTTTTCTTTGTATGTCCTTGAATCTGTGCGTATAGAGTGGGTTTATACGACCGTATGTGTGCGTGTGTGGGTGGGTGTGTGTTTGTTTGATAGCTGATTATGTTTGCTTTGTTCGTTATTACTTATTTTAGGGCGAATGGGTTTAATATTGGCTATTCATTTTATACTGAAATGTCAAAATGTCTACCCTTGGCCCTCTCCATTGACTCCACCTACACACAGGCACGTAGCCACGGGGGGGGGGGGGGTTGATTGAACTATCGATTGCACTTTTTTAGACCCCTTTTTTACCTCGATCGATTATATGTATGTGCCCCCCCCCCCCCCCCCCAACATCAAACTCTGGCTACGTGCCTGCCTACACAGGCTCATTATCTTTAACTTGTTCTTTTTCTACCTTTTTCATACAGAGTACCGATTGCTGATATAGACGAGTGTGCTACTGACCCCTGTCAAAATGGCGTATGTACGGATGGTTTGGGCGTTTTCACTTGCACATGTGATGAAGGATGGGGAGGAGATATATGTGATACCATAGTCGGTAAGTTTTAGTTATGACGGATAAGTATTGTTTTGTGTGTGTGAACATAAGTAGTACAAATCAAAACAGATTAAATACAAATTACTTAATTCAGAAGTAAAATCAGTTACAACTATAAACTTGATTATTTGGTGCTGACGATATCAGTGTCGTCGCCTGGGCCTAGACACTGAGGGCACACAAGCATACTTGGGGGCACATGTCTTAATCGACAAGACCATTGATTGGGGAGAATCAGTTAGAAGAGGACTTTAATTCAAATTCAATTCAAATTCAAATCAATTCAAATTCAAATTCAAATAATTTATTCACTCAATATAAAAAACAGACACATAGAATTGCGAATAAACGCATACATGTATAACAAATATAAAAAGATGGGCATAGCAAAATCAGTAGATGACAACACAAATAACATAAATTGAGTGGGGATCAGATTAAAGATCTACTCAAAGATCTTGTGAATTCGACCCCTTAGAATAAAATAAATTGCATTGTATACTGTTGCATGTACAACAACAGAAGGGAGAGAATACATATACAGCTACAGCTGGGTCAGAGAGAAACAAGAGAGGGAGATAGATAGAGAGAGAGAGAGAGAGAGAGAGAGAGAGAGAGAGGGGAAGAGGAAGGAAAATTGAAGGAGAGAAAGGCAAGATGAGAAGTAAAGTTAATACATAGGATGAAATTAGACCCAAGCAGAATAATAGTGCATACAAAATAGAAAATAGAAATAACAATTATAAAAAGAAATAACCCATACAAACCAGGGATATAACAATTAACATGGACATAAACAACAAACAACAGGTGACTCAATGTGGATAAGATTGTAAAAGCCTTTCTTTGTATTGTCTCTTGAAAACATTCAGAGAGGATGCAGATTTTAGATAAGGTGGCAATGCATTCCATAGTTTGGGACCTGCATAGTAAATTGTCTTTTGAGAAACTGAAGTTCTTGCATATGGGATGTGAAAGTCTGCATTTGAACGAGTACAGTGGGAGTGGATTGAAGAGTTAATGGAAACATAGCGAGTCAGGGATAATGGCAAGATCTGTCTCTGACAAGAGAACATAAAAATGGCCAGTCTTAATTTATACAAATCGAATACATTCAAGATTTTTAATTGAGTAAATAAAGGTTTAGTGGAGGCAAGGAAAGGCATTTTACAAATTATCCTCACTGCTCTTTTTTGCAATCTATATACTCTCAACATTTTACTTGAGAAGCTGAGGCCCAGACAATATTGCAATATATAAGAAAAGGGTAAATGAGTGTGTAGTAAAGAGATAACAAAATATTTCTAGGCAGATAGTTTAGTTTGTTCATTACACCAATATTTCGTGAAATTGTTGTACATATGTAATTTACATGGTCATGCCAACGCAATTTGTCATCAATTTGAATTCCTAGAAATTTTGTGTTAGATACCATTGTGATTTCAGAGCCATTTAGATATACCTTATAGTTGGAAATATCAATATTTCTTTTGGTGAAAATCATCATGTGAGTTTTGTTTGTATTAAGTAGTAGCTTGTTAAGTTTGAGCCAATGGGCGACATGTTCTAGTTCATGGTCTAAAGTTTGAATAAGGGTTGCTTCATCTTTGTTTGATAAAGAAATTGTAGTGTCATCTGCAAAGAGGACTTTATAGCGCCTTCTTTCTGTTTTCCCTTTCCATTCCTCCTCCCCCCCCCCCCCCTCTCTCTCTCTCTCTCTCTCTCTCTCTCTCTCTCTCTCTCTCTCTCCTCATCCCTCTTTTCTTTCTCTCTCTCTCTCTCTCTCTCTCTTTTTCCTTTATTTTTTTCTCTATTTCATTTTGAGTTGCCACATTCACCATAGCCACGCCACTGAACGATACCTTATGCCTCTTTCGAGATTTATTGCACATTCATATAATTAATTTTCTCTCGGTATTTTATGTGGTTATATACATCAGTTTATCTTGTGGTAATCATGCTTTACCATTTAAACCACATATATTCTAAATGAGGACAAATTGTATTTATACTAACTGTTTTTCTTTTGACAGAATGGAAGTGTACAGCGACCAAGTGTTTCCATCTTTTGACTGAGGCAAGCACTTTCAGCAATGCAGTCGCTTACTGCGACAGTCTTAATCCTGTTACTCTAAACCAGACCATCGTAACCGGGACGAGGAATGCGTCCATACTCTTTGTTGGTTCCGATGCAGAAATCACCGAGGTCGAGGATCTATTTGATTTCTTCTCGTCATCTCGTCATGTTTGGGTGAACTGCTTCGATGAAGACTCGGATACGAATTTTGTCTGCACGGCTGATGACGAAGGGACACTGACGGATATTAGAAGTAAGCTTCGTTTTCCCACTTTCTTCTCTCATTTTTGTCATTCTTTCTTCCTTTCTGTCTTTCTCATTTTTCTATATGGTGCCCTCTTTTTTATATCGATCTATCTTCCTTTTTATATATATATATATATATATCTATATCTTGCTCTCTCAGTCTTTCCCGTTTGTCATTTTCTTGTTTTCTTTATACTGAGCTACAATTCAGCCAGGGGAAATTTCATGCTAAAACTTTAATTATTATCAAGAAAATGACTTAAATATAAACTCAGATACTGGCAACGCGATAGTCTTGTAAAAGCAACTGCCTGGACGCAAAGTTGGGAGTGGTTGATTATTTATAACAAAGGAAGAAGAGTAGAGGATAATGAGTCGGTCTGCCTGCAAATCGGCTACACTGCAACAAATGGGTAGGCCTATATTGGATGAATGTTTGGTACCAACTTTTCAACTATTTCCCGTCATTTGTCCAATATAAGGCCATTTTGAAGATGATATTTGTCCAATGTGATATACAAAGAGTAAGAAAACTAAAAAAATAAATTGATCATCTTTAGCAGAAGTCACAATTCTCTTTAAAATGAACTTTACCGTCATCTTCCTAATAATCCGTTGATCACATTAATTTAATCACTTTCTTTAATTCCGATATCAACTAATGCTGTATTCCTGATCCATTTTTTGCATAATAAGTTATTTTCTTTCTCATTAGACTGGGAATCTAGCCAACCAAACGGTGGGGGCAGTCAAGACTGCGTTGCCGTAGTAACAGATCACAATAAATGGGAGGATAAAAGTTGCACCGAAACGTACAACACTGTTTGTCAGATATACAGGTAGGTTTATATTATGTTCATTATTTTCTTATATCAAAAACTAGATAGGAGCACATGTAGGTATGGAGAGAGATAGAGAGAGAGAGAGAGAGAGAGAGAGAGAGAGAGAGAGAGAGCCGGAAAGAACTTGAAAGAGCTGGATCCCTGTTCATCGTAAGTCTCCATCATTGTGATGTGTATCGTTGTCATCCTCAGCTTGTTGCAATGATACAGTTAAACGGTTATCACTAGTATCATCATCACTAAGGGCCATTTGTAAAACAGTTACGCTTCATTATTAGAAAGTTAACGTGACGAATACAGCAAGCGGAGTGAGCTGTTTTTTTCTTCATATCATTGAATGAAGCAAGTAATTTATATTGCATCCTTTTTCTTTCAAGCCCCCACTGCACTACTTTTAGCTAATTGCGCTCTCTATAGAGCCAACAATGCCTAAGCGGTATCCGTTGATCCCCCATGATGCCCTTTTTCTCATGTTAATTGAGAGATGATTGATGACATAACCACCTGCCAGTGACCTTTCAGGGAGGTCTAATCCCTCCATGCCTAACTAGTGCAGAGGAGCTTTAAGGTCATGATTGTAATGATTTTCGTTTTAAGTGCTTGAATGTCTGCGTGTGCGTATGGGGTAGGTTTATATGACCGGGTGTGGATGGGTGTGCGTTTGTGTGATAGCTGATTATGTTTCGTTTAGGACGAAGAGGTTATTGGCTATTCATTTTATACTGAAATATCAACATTTCTATCCATGGCCCTCTTTATTGACTCCACCTACACAGGCTCATTATCTTTAACTTGTTCTTTTCTACCTTTTTGGAATACAGAGTACCGGTTGCTGATATAAACGAGTGTGCTACTAACCCCTGTCAAAATGGCGTATGTACCGATGGTTTGGGCGTTTTCATTTGCACATGTGATGAAGGATGGGGAGGAGATATCTGTGATACCATAGTCGGTAAGTTTTAGATTTGACGGATAAGTATTGTTTTGTGTGTGTGAAATGTTTTATTTCTCCTAACATAAGTAGTACAAATCAAAACAAATTAAATACAAATTACTTAATTCAGAAATAAATTCAGTTACAACTATAAACTTGATTATTTGGTGCTGACGATATTAGTGGCGTAGCCTGGGTCCTTACATTGAGAGCACACTGGCATAATTGGGGGCACTTTTGTTAATCGACAAGGCCATTGATTGGGGAAAGGTTTTGAAAGAGTCCTTTATAGCGCCTTCTTTTTGTTTTCCCTGTCCCTCTCCCTTTCCTATGTCCCCTCCCTCCAACCCCCAACCCCCTCTTTATAAGCTCTCTCTCTCTCTCTCTCCCTCTCTCTCTCTCTCTCTCTCTCTCTCTTTCTCTCTCTCTCTCTCTCTCTCCCTCTCTTTCTCTCTCTTCCATGTCCTTTCTCTATTTCATTATGAATAGGCACATTCGCCATAGCCACGTCACTGAACGATACCTTTATATGCCTCTTTCGAGATTTATATTACATACGATTATTTTTCTCTCGTTATTTAATGTGTTAGTAAAGGTACTACAGTATGTGACTATGTCCCATTAGCAGCCAACATCTAATTCTGTAAAACTTTGCAGGAATTAAATCTGTAACATGTAAACGTTAGCTGTGTCCTACTATTACATTTATGCAAGGAAACCCGTTTACTTTCTAAACTTCACTGCCAGATACTATTGAGTGACTGACTGACTGACTGACTTCATTTTTTATTTGGTAATAACATACATAAAAAGAGCTGTAAAGGGTACATGAACATTTGTCTACATCAATAACCCACTTCTTGTATGGTTAACAAATTAAACTGATTGGATCTTTGCGCAGCACAAACCGTACACCATTCGCTACAAGGGTCTGAAATTCAGACTATTTACAAAAAGGATTTCAATCCCTAAAGTCGATTCGATAACTAACAGTTAACAAAAAGACATTTTGAAGCCATTTTGTTTTGAGGGAAGCTCTAAATTAGTATTATCTTTCAAATGCCGGTAGAATTTAACCTTTTCATATTTTGGGCCTGCAAGTGGGACATAGTACATCTAACATCAGTTTATCTTCAGATAATCATGCTTTAGCATCTAAACCACACACATTCTAAAGGAGAACGGATTGTATTTATACTAAATGTTTTTCTTTTTACAGAATGGAAGTGCACAGCGACCAAGTGTTTCCATCTTTTAACTGAGGAAAACATTTTCAGCGATGCAGTCGGTTACTGCGACAGTCTTAATCCTGTTACTCTAAACCAGACCATCGTAACCGGGACGAGGAATGCGTCCATACTCTTTGTTGGTTCCGATGCAGAAATCACCGAGGTCGAGGATCTATTTGATTTCTTCTCGTCATCTCGTCATGTATGGGTGAACTGCATCGACGAAGACTCGGATTCTAATTTCGTCTGCACAATGGATGACGAAGGAACACTGACGGATATCAGAAGTAAGCTTCCTTTTCCCATTTTCTTCTCTCAATTTTTGTCATTCTTTCTTCCTTTCTGTCTTTCTTTCACCCATCTCTCCCGCTTAGTCCCACTATATATATATCTCTCTCTCTCTCTCTCTTCTCTCTCTCGCGTCTATCAATCTCCCACTCTTTAGCTTTCAATCTTTTCTCTCCCTCTATCTCCCTCTATCTCTTTCTCTCAAACAGCCCACTAGACTTACCACACACAAGACATAGTATGTTTTTGTATATATTTTTGTTTTTCTCTTTCAATGTTATTCTCATATTGGTATAATATAGATCCAAATCTGTGATTCCCCTTTTTCATAAAGGTCATCTCCTTTTCTAAATCTATATCTGATATAATTCATTTTAATTTCCATTGATGTATGATGGGATGTTGAGCAGGGATCGATACAGATTAAGTTTAACAGTAATTTCTTCCACCTCTGATTTGCTATAATTGAATTTCTTTTCACTCATCAGACTTCAGATATGACCAGCCAAACGGAGGAAATCAGGATTGTATGGCTGTGGTAACAAACGACAATAAATGGCAGGACAAAAGTTGCTCCGATACGTACAACACTGTTTGTCAGATATACAGGTATTAATTAGCTTTTTGTGCATACAACTTGGCCGGCATACGTTTGAAAGAGATGCAACAGTCATTATCATTAGAAACAAATTGAATTCCGCTTTTCCATGTCGTCCTTATCAACGACATCATCATCTTACAACTACAGTTATTATCATTTTCACCATTTATATGTCATCATCGTCATTTTCATCGTCACTATATAACCCTGAATATCACTGTCATGGTTGTCGTCAGTATCGTCACCGTTATACAACATTATTGAGTATTTAATTACATTTATATTTGCTGTATGTATTTGGGTACCTGTGATTTTGTGATCTTATCTACATTTTGAATGTAGTATCTTTTTAAAACACAAAAGGAAATCGGCTTTTGAGTGAATTTCTTAATCACCAAAGTTCGGGCAAACATCTTCTCATAAGTCGAGCAACTAGAATGACTTGGTGCACCAGTTTTTAGTTTCTATACCATGCTTTGCATATTTTGATAAAGAAATTACAGTTTAAACTGTTCAACTGTGTGATTTTGCTCCCTCCCTTCACTTATTCGCAAAAGTTAGAAATCTAAAGTTGATATTCTGACGAGAAACGTAGAAAATGGGGCTGAATGTGTATGATAATCTTCAAGACTGTCTTCATCATCTGCATCATCCCCCTTCCCCTCCTGCACGTTGATATCATTACCTTCTCGTTCAACCCCTTTGTGTTTCTCTTCTCTCTTTTGCATACAGAGTACCTGTTGCTGATATAGACGAGTGCGCTAGTAACCCCTGTCTAAATGGCAATTGTACCGATGGTCTTGGGATGTATACATGCACCTGTGACGAGGGGTGGAGTGGACATTTCTGCCAAGTCGAAGTCGGTAAGCTGACAGGTTTCCCGGTCACTATACGTCTGCCTGTGGTGCTTGCACATTTTAGTGGCCTAAATCTTAGACCAATCCTAGAAAGAGGCCCATATATCGATTGCACATTTTAGAATGCTCATCATACATGTATATTTGGCATTATTCCATGTCATCAGAGCTCATCTTACCTATAACCCAAATCAAGTCTTGATTCTAATCATTTGCTGTTTCTAAAGTAAATATTCTAGAATAAATCTACAGAGAGCATTAGTTTTAATAGTTCAGCGAGAAATAAAATCCCTTTTATATATATGTATAGTCCTGTTTATCATAGGGTCAATTAGATCTAAATTCCTATTCATTGACGCATGGTCTTAATCTCATGTCCCTTATATGTCACAAGTTCATCGAAATAGATTCTTACAGATGGTCTCTTACCTTGCCTGGATAAAAAGGGATAAATCGTTCTTTTGACTGTAGTTCTTGGGAAGGAATTTGAACCCCTTACACATTGGGATCCGTCCAGTGACACATCCAGTATAACACAATACCTCTCTAAATGAGGACACGTTGTAGCATTTTTTTTCTGAACATGTTTTTCTTCCAGAATGGAAATGCACAGACACAAGGTGTTTCCACGTCTCAACTGAAGAACTCGGCTTCTATGATGCCGTCATCTACTGCGACAGTCTCAATCCTGTTACTCTAAACCAGACCATCGTAAGCGGAAACAGGAATGCCTCTGTTCTCTTTGTTGGTTCGGACGCAGCCATTAATGAAGTGGAGGATCTATTTGATTTTTTCTCGTCAACTCGTGAAGTATGGGTGAACTGCATTAGTGAGGACTCTGATGCGGATTTTGTCTGCACGGCTGATGATAAAGGGACATTGACGAATATAACACGTAGGTCCTCCCGACTAATTTTAGATGGAAACTGGGTATTTCATTTGACGAATAAAAGTTTTCCTTTCTTTTACTAAGGTTTAATATCATAATCATCGTAATCATCGTTATCATCATCATCACCATGACCACCTTCATCCTCAACCTCCCCTCCACTACCTCATCCCACTCTTCCTCATTATCTTCCTCCCCTCCTCCTTCACCTTCTCACCCTCTTCCTTTTTTATTCTCCTTCTCCTGTCCGGCCTTCTCCCCTTCCTCCTCCTCCCCCTCCTCTTCCTCCTCGACTTCCTCATCTACCCTTTGGTCCTGGGGAGGAGGAGCCTGAGTTCTTCTCCAAACCTTTCTCAATCTTACTTTGTCTCTAGCAAATGTCAGATTAGCTATTTTTCCGCCTTCAAGTGACTTTAATCGAGGGTCAGGTATGGAACCCGAAAACAAATTTAATGGCGTACTTTGATTACAAGATGCACAGCTATCAACCAAACTTGTTGGGTGCAATGAATACAAGATGTACATATAATTTGGAATGAAACTCATTGGATTACTAAATAAGCACTTACTTTTGTTAGATTTTATATTGAAATTTCTTTCGGTGTTTAAAGGCGTTTCAGTTTGATGGCTATTTCACAGGTTGTGTCGTCATTGATGAGCATGTGCGTTCTTCATCATGTCTCCTTTTATCAGATTAATCTCTATTGAATGAATGCAAAAAAGAGCACATAATCATTCCAACAATATGCCAAAAATAATTGATACACATTACCATTCCACAATCATCTCTAAAGGCTGTCTATGGGATGTCATTTATTGTAATTATCTTTGTACTAACAGATTGGAGATATGACCAACCAGACGATGATGGCGGTCAGGACTGTGTTATCGTAAAAACGAATGACAATAAATGGAAGGACAAAGGATGCGAAGAAACATATAACACTGTGTGCCAGATATACAGGTAGGTTTAAAATTATTCGGTTTAACCAAAACAGAGAGATATTATTAGAATGGTAGTAGAGAGAAGTGATGAGAGATGAAAGTGTTAAAAAAAAGAGGTATTGGGAAGAAGGAGAGAGAGAGAGAGAGAGAGAGGGGGGTTGGTGTTGAGAGAACTGTTTACAGGAGACGAAAAAACAAATTTGAAGACAAAATAAAGCAATGAGGCCTTGAAAATGATTATGATGACAGCTAGATCATTTAAACCAGTAATAAACAAATGACTTATTCTCAAATATATACTATATCAACAAGGCTTAAATGTACAATTTTATATTCATAATAGTTTATGTCGATGTGTGTGCATTATGTGTCGGTTTAAATATATTTCATTGTACTGTTCTGCAGATTGATGTTGCTGGGTGATAGAACGGCGCATTAAAGCAATGAACAATGTACTTTTCTAGAATAACATTTTTGTTTCATGTGATTTTAACACATAATACAATTTTTGTCACTCGTAAAACATAGAATTAAATTTTATCACAAAATGTTTACATAAATATATAACAAAAAGATGTTGACAAATTGCAAACTGCAGTGTAAAAAACATACATACGACTAGTATCACTGCACTACAAAAAAAGAGGTAACATTGAGGGATCTTCTAAGAAAACAAAATTTTCATTGGATGGGTCACTTTGGATATGTTACACATGAGCAGGTTTACACGAACATCAAAAATGGTAACAAAATATAGCTAATTGATTTTAATTAAAGAGTGTTTTGCGTGATTAAGTGTGATGGTAAATTTTTAATTATTTCTTTCCACATAGGGTTCCTGTTGAAGACATAGACGAATGCGCCACAGGCAATCCGTGTGTAAATGGGACTTGTGTAGATGGCATCGGGGATTTCACGTGTGCTTGTAACCATGGCTGGATCGGAGACCTTTGTGAGCAGGCTGTCGGTAAGGAAGAATGATTCTTGTATATATATATATACATATTGCTCCGATTGTCTCATTTTCGCTCGCGTGAACATTGCCAGCACAAACCATTGACCTCTACCTCCTGAACGGATCATCGCCCATTCCCATTCACTATACGTTACGTACTAAGAGGATGTATTGTCTGACCGTTCATGAATATTCATGTTTTTGCTAAACTCGGCAAAATGTTTGCTTTTACTAAATGGAAAAATTACGGTGGGGGGTTGGATGAAATGGACATAATGAAATAGGCAGAAGTGATCTATGATAATTCATGCTTTTTATGTTTCGTGTGCTCGACCTATAATCTTCAAATCGCTTGGTAAACTGAGTCCAAAGTTAGACTTGTTTCACATGTGTATTATAGGCAATGACGAGCTTGCAACCTATTTTAAAAAATTACGGTGGGTGAACTTTCAAAAGTCAATGAGACATGAGGGCTCCAATGAAAGAGCTAGTGATAACGTACGTCGGGGTGGATGTGCTTTTCGTTTAAACAAAAAATGAATTTTTAACGATTTTTAAAAAAAAAACGTCCATAGGCTAACATGTTAGGCTGCTGAATCTGACCATGCTCTGACGATAGGGGGCGTTGTGAAATGAGACTAAACGGAGCCATATGATATATATATATATACACACACACAGGCGCGTACGCAGGGGGGGGGGGGGGTGTTTGGGGGGTTAACCCCCCCCCCCCCCCCCTTTGTTTTTTGTTTTTTGTTTTTTTAATAATAAAAAAATAAAAAATAAAAAAAATAAAAATTATTCCCATGGCTGACCAAAAAAAAGGCGACCCTACCCCCCCCCCAACGGAGCCAAATGTCAAATGTTTAAAAAAAAAGGGTCCTCTTAACCCCCCCCCCCCCCCCCGCTTATTTAGCGGCTGGCTACGAAACAGACGCCCTCCCTACACGCACGCACCCACACACACACACGCGCGCATACACACACGCACACACACACACGCACACGCACACATATACGCACACACACTCTTCTTGAGAAAAAGGTGTTTTGTTTTAGATTGAGATCTGAGAGAGTGATCGGGACATTAGGACCATTGCATGCATCTATCCCCTCCATTTTTTGACAATCTTGGTCCGCCTGTTTAAAATCTTTTGATGTAAATTATAGGTAAACTTAAGTAGCCTTCACACATTCTTGATCTTTTAATATGAGTTTAAACATTTCATTTATATATATATTATTAATGGAGTAATGAGGGCAACACTGGAGGTGGTGCACATAATGTGTGAATATAAGGAGTCATCTATCTATCGTATCCATTGGTTAACATATCTCCAGGCCTAGTACATGGCATGCTGCCACTTTTATTACTAATTCATTGAACGTTCACATATGCCTATATCATCGAAAGCGATACCATTGCAATAGCAAAACAACAAGAGATGACATGAATTTGATCAAACATTTTGTGGATTGAAAATGGATTGAAAACTTCAATGTTTATAGATAAACTGAAAGTTTGAGTGAAAACAGACCATTATTAATGATAACAATTGAGAAAAATTGATCTGATCGATTCCTTAATTCGCCTAAATATATTATTACAATTCAATTACATTTTATGGTGAATGTTAATCGTCACAAAGCTATGAACTGGCTCTTTATACTATCCGGACATTAGAGTGTTAAAAGATTCTTTAAAGCCTGTCCTTATTTTCATGGAAAACGGTTGGGAAAATTTAAAAATGGTTGGGAGAATTTTCCTGTTAGAGAGTGTTGACCAGTGACGCCCTCAAAGAAAACCATAAATATCTTTTTGGTTTGAGAAATTTCAGGATTTTTTGCATGCTAGAGGGTTAGTACAGTATAAAAAGGAAGATAATAAGTAACATTTCATTCAAAAATTACGCAATTTTTTCATCAACCTTGAACAATGTTACTGAGTTACTTTAATATATGTAAAGCGATTACAGACAGTATTTCGTATTAAGCGCTATACATCTTCAGATTATTATTATTAATAGTAGAATTGTTATTATTATTATTAATGATATTATTCATCTTATTATAATTGCATGTACATTTGAAGAAAGATAAGGTTGAAAAAGTACTCGACAAACCTTTTCAGTCAAAATAACAGAATGTCTGGACCGTGAGACTACGTAGGATACATAATCTACTGCACTCCATAGGGCTTGTACTTAAGCTGATTGATACAGACATTGACCGACAGACTTTAGCTAGGCTCAAGACTGTATGAAATTCTGTTGAAGTGTCAAATGTAGTTTGTGCCTACAGACTACTATGATATTTAACGTTTTTAAATATTTGTCAATTTCACCTCAGAATGGAAATGCTCGCAAACCAAGTGCTTCCACATGTACCTCTGGAAACAAATCTTTGACGATGCCGTAACCTACTGCAGCAGCCTTAGCCCTGCGACGGTGAATGCCACCGTCACGGGTAACTCGTCAGTGCTGTTCGTTGGCTCCGATGCCGAGATTATCGAGGTCGAAACGTTGTTGGGAATTTCAAACAGCGAGGATGTCTGGGTCAACTGCAACGATCGTCAGACCGATGATGACTTTCAGTGTTTTTCAGACGCAGAAGGTACCCTTACAAATGTAACAAGTAAGTAGAAAAGCTAAGTCTAATCTCTCCTTAGAGTGATCTTCAAGCGGCGTGACCCCGTTCTGATGGCACCGCGGATTTCACACGCGGTCGTGTAAAATACACAACCGCATGAAGAATTTTTTGGTATACCGATGTACCTTGTAACAAATATAATTGATTTATTGAAAAAACAAATGGCACGGGAAAGGTACAGAATAAGGGTTTCTTTATCTAACCGGTCTCGGTTTCTTCAAAAATTATGATATATATGTCTAAGAGACCAAAGATCCACAAGACCGAAGACGGTACAAGACGGTAAAATGTTATTTCGATATAAAAGATATAATATATATTTGGGCACCACACTGTCAAATAGAGGGTTATTCGGGTATTGTGTGGCTCAAATATGGAGGTATAATTCGCTGCCAGAGATCATCATGTGTCTAAAGGTTGCGGGCATAGCGAGCGAGAAAGGAAGACACTTTATTATCTGTAAAATTTTATTTCCTCATAATATTACATACTCTAACGGTTTCTAATTATTGGTTTTCACGAAATCGACGTTATTCCAAAATGCGAAAAGAACTTGGCATGATTTAAATGGAAGGTTTTTCATAATGGCATCTCCTTAAAATGCTGAAGGCTATTTTATCCTTTTAATCATTCAGTTCTATTTGAACGTTGGGTAGCCAAACTAGCCATTAATATATTTGCTGTAGGGTGAAACGAATAACCCAGTTTTATCATTCGTGTGCTTGTTCTTGATTTTTTTTAACAGATTGGCTTTCTGGTCAACCGAATGGAGGATCATCGCAGCAATGCGTCATTGTGGACACCGACGATGACAAATGGGAAGACAAGGCATGCGATAGTCTCTACACTACCGTCTGTCAAATAGTGATCTAAGATATTTTGTCGTGGTAACAGATGTGTAAATATTTCAGATATCATGGTCAAGGGGATAAACGTCAGTCTAGTTCTGACTTCAGGGTAATTGATTTTTGTTCACCCATTGCTTACTGGAACCTGGTGGTCTCTGTATTAAGCCTACGGGGATTAGAGAATTCAGTATCAATGGGTTAACTTCCATCTCAAGGAATTGACAATGCAGCAAAGGTGAAATGTGCAATTATCTCTTGAATCAGTGGAAGCGTTTGTGCATGATTTTGCAAACAAATTGGTTGCCAGGTCAACTGATTGGGAGACTAAGTAAAAAACAAAGGAGAAACTAAGAACCAAACCAAAAGCAGTGGCAATTCGAGGATTCTCTGGCCCGGGGATACAAGAGCTTTAAAAAATCCCTTACTGCAACAACAAATAGGGGGAATCATGAGTTTCAACCAGTTAAACATACTTTACAAGACTACTGCCAATTTATAGCGATTTTACGAAACATACTCTAGCAACTTTGCTCTTATCTGGGATCATTTTCGTCTTTTTGTAGCACCAAAGCTCGAACCCTTAACCGAACAATATTATATAATAAAGCCAATCTTAAGAGATTAACAATAAAAGGACCCGGGGTCTTTTGCTGTGCTTTTCACTTGTTCTCCTTGTCCCTTTTAAAGATACTATGTCCCTTTTGTAGCCGACATCAGAACATGTAGAACTTTGCAGGAATTATGAATATGTCATGTATGCCCTATCTGTGAAATTTAAACGTTAGCAGTGTCCTAATATTAAAATTATGCAAGGAAACACGTTTACTTGCTAGACTTCACTGCCAGACACTATTGAGTGACTGACTGACTTTTGTCTTCTTTGGTAATAACATACATAACATGAGCTGTAAGGGGTACATGAGCATTTGTCTACATCAAAAGCCCACTTCTTTTAATGGCCAAAATTAAACTGATTGAATCTTTGCGCAGCACAAAATGTACGACCATTCGGTATAATGGTCTGAAAATCAGACTATTGCTTACCTGAAGTCGATTCGATAACTAATAGTCGTTATTTTCCCACTTAAAGACATGTTATAGCCCCCCCCCCTTTTTTTTTTTAAGGGAAGTTCTTAATTAGTATTATCTATCAAATACCCTTGGAATTTAACCTTTTCATTTGTTTGGCCTGCAAATGGGACTTAATGTACCTTTAAGGGATAAATTTGTTGCAGGGTGACGTTTTCTGAATTGAATATGTCTATTTACAATATTCCAGTGAGATTTGGGCTTGCTAGGTTAAAGGTTATACAAAGTTTGGGTATGGGGTCATGAATTTGGTTCAAATGAACATATTGAAAGCATATGCGATCCTTCAATATTCAGTGATCGTTGTCGCGGTTGATATCGAGTCTAAAGTTGTGAGATTGTAGTTCCTCTCAAGGTCAAGATATTAATTAAGCTATAAAACAATGTTTCTAGACTAAAATCGACCGATTAGCCATTCCCGTTTGGAAATTATATATCACGATTACATATTTTGATAACTTCATGGTCACAGCTACCATTGTACGGCCGTAGGCGCTATTTGAAATTTATCAAATAAAATATTATATTCAAGTTTCTCGAAAACAAACTTGTTTTAAGGGCTAAATTTTCTAGTGCTTATAATTCATCTACAGGGGCATCCAAATATATCAAAATTGTAAAGAATCACTATTTCCCCGATTTTCAAAATTTCCCAAAACTTTGTTTTACCTTTAACGATAATTATTATCAATGTCATGATAGATTGCATTTCTTCATTTCAATTCGAAATTGCCTTCGTGTAAAAAATGCAATATGATATATTCAAGCTTTTTATGTGTGATGATTGTTATATTTATGTACATATTCAAGTATTACACGATTATAAAATATGTTGAAAATTCAACTCTTGTGCAATTTCAATACCATATAGCTCCTGGCATTAAAATAATGTTAGGATTACCAAATACATTATTGGTATGTTCATACATATAAATATATGATTGACAAGGCCTTTGCAATTTCTTAGGCAAATCTTTCGAATGTCTTTGCGATCGGTTTTTCACCTCATTTTCAATGTATAGACTACATTACCCACATTTGGCGGGTGACACACTTTAGTGAACATTTTTCCATTTTCAATTTCAAGACTGATATCACTAAAACTATAATGTACAAATATACATACATGTTTACCAAAATGTTCAGTGTCACGTGACACCGTTTCAGCCAATAGGATACTCGCTATATTAATCCTATTTTAAATATGTATATACACCTGTATATCAAAATTTAATTGCTTATTTATAGATGATTACAACTATGATCAAACATCATACGAGACATAGTCTTAACTTATGATTTCAATTGTCTGTGTTTTCTTGGGCACAAATCCATGTCATCGTGATATGATAATAAAATAGATATCCACGATTATTTGTTTGCTCGAGTTGTTCATATATTTTGTCCTTACAGCACAATACTAGAAATTTAAATTGGTTTCTCTCCATTTCCGTTGTTTCCATTAATTGGCTTCGCAGGTCAGAGGCCCTTTTCAATCGTTCTATTTCTCATTCCTCCTCTCCCCCCCCCCTCTCGTCCTCACTATTTTTCTCAGTGTCTCCCCTCTAGCCCTTTCCCCTTTTTCCTCACCGTCTCTCTTTCATATGCTTTCTTTTCTCATATCAAAGGCCTTTTGACGTTTAGTGCTCTTTTCTTGATTACTTTTAACCTCTTTGTGGCCTACTCCATACCATTTTCCTCTTTTAAACACTCTCGACATAAATATGTTTTAATGGAGTGGAATAATCTGATTCACGAACTCTTTGGCTTTCTAAAGATTTTTTTCTTTTCCTTTTGTATTGTGTATGATATGTATCTCTATTCGTCTCTGCTATTATCCTAAGCCTGTTTAAAAGTGTCCTTTATTTCGGTCATCTCTAAGGCTTTCTACCGTAAGATATTTGATCAATATGTCCTTAGAAACAAAAGAAATCAGTCTGGAGGGTTATTTTTTATCTCTAGCACTTTTTTCTTTTCCGTAATTTTAATATTAGAAGACTATATCCGACAATACTGCCCCCCCCCCCATCCCATCTCTTGTAGAAGAGCCCCTGATTAATGAGGTACTGTTTTTGTAAGCAAGAAAAGAGTTTACCTTTATTGAGAGATAGCTGAGATGCGGTAAAAGGTTTCAGATTGTGATTATAATTCGACCTTATTTCGGAGTTAAATAAAAGCGACAATCAATCAAGTAAGTGGATCGCGCGTGGAGAAACTTTAACCATGAAGACAATAATGGTGAGTATACTCTTTTATACTATCTTTATAAAATTCTTGACTGTTATCTTCTTTTCCAATTAATTATACGATATTTTGATTCTTCTTCATTAGTGTCAATTTACACCTAGGCTTAATTCTCAAATCCAATCCTGAAATCATTTAGAGAGCACCTGTATTTAGTTGCCTAATCAAAGGCGCTGATAAGACTGAAAATTGATGTTAACGCCGCCCATAATTCATCTAGGAAAGACAGGATTAGTGGCTAGTTACCGGAGTGTTGGCTCAGTCAGTAGAGCGTCCGCCTCACAACCGGGAGGTCTTGGGTTCGAACCCCGGCCGCGTCATACCAAAAGACGTTAAAAGATGGGAGTTGTTGCTACCTTGTTTGGCGTTCAACAATAAGGGATAGACCAACGTCGATCTGGCGCTGCTCAGTGGCTGCCGGGCTCACGATCAATTGGGCAAAAAGAATTTCCGTTTCGGTTTAATAAAATTTGGAGTGGACTATTAGATTATTATTATTATTATTATTAGTTGTAGGTAATGTGAAAAAGGTAATGTATTTTAAGCCCATATCGTGTAATTTCCCCCTTTGTTTAGAATTAATTAGAGTACATTTATATCACATTCTGCATACGCTAATTGTAATTTTGACAGAAATATATGGGAGATGATTTCATACTCCTTTCGCTCAAAGATATAGGCTTACCCGTTTGCGACAAGGCAGTATCAACACCCTACCGTAGTCCACCTCCACCCATACCGTTTTCGGTTAGACCTCATGCATGCATTGTAATAGTGCCTCAATCCTCTCTTTATTCAGTTCCTACAATAATATTGAATAACGACGGTCAATTCATAATCGTGCTTTAGAGGATGTTATGATGAATTAAGGATGACTTCAGAAGATACTGTACTTTGTTGTACTGGTTCTTTTAACATATACCAAATGTGTCCGCAATAGGGTCCGAAATGAAATTATGTTTACTCACTTCAAAAATGTGTTTTTAGGATCAGGACTATTCATATTTTTGAGAAATGCAAAGTTTGGACCTTAAATCTATCTCCTTATTTATTCACCAGATATGAATACTTTGAGTTTTTACAATTTGATTGTGAACTATAGCATATCTAATAACTGTGATATAAAACTCATTTGCTATTAACTTCACCAACAAATATGTTGGTCTTTAAGAATATGTTTCAGAGATTATTCATGCAAATTTTTGAGTTTCTATCTCGTAAAAATATAGATTTTGTGTCCCTTGAAAGTAAAAAATAGCTCCAAATTAGGGTTTTGACAATAACAAGTTTTTATTTCAATAGGTAAAATGCTTTTTTCTTGGGTCAAACTTATTTTATTATAACAACTGATGATATAAGTTAAATAAATCCAAAAAAATTGGAGAACCAGTGCATTGTCTAATAATTTTCATATGTCACACCACTGGTGTTTTGGACGTTACACACTGTTAACATCATAACTTTATTCAAGTTAATTGTTTTTCTTTAGGTATTATTGACCTAAGTCACATTAATTGTTTGCAGACAAATATTTCTTGAACATTTATTTTTAAAAATTGCAGTTTTAATTAGTTTTGCACATATACCTAGTTTGACTTCATTGACACCTCAATTTATGTAAGGTATAATGTTCATTTCAGGAACGTGTACCCGTAGTTAAAAATGCTTATGTGATCTAATAAAGTAAAATAT